GTTTTGATTTTCGACCTGATTTTGGCAATCTGTCGCAATTAGGTTCTATTTTCCCTTCCGCTCCATTTTTAGTACTCACTGCAACTGCTCCAAAACACGTAAGAGAATCCTTAACGAATTCTCTCCTTCTCGACAAACCACTCGTGGTAGTAGGGAACTTGGATCGCCCAAACATTCATTTTCACAAAGAGAAACGAAAACCATCGTCTACAGGAGAAGAAAGCTATAAAGCAATACTTCTTCCAATTGCGAAAGAATTGAAAAAAAGCCTAACAGCATACCCTCTCACTCTAATATACCTCCCATTAAGGTGGTGTGGATACGCATTTAAACTGTTCATGGACGAACTTGGGGAGGCAAGCTATTTTCTATCATCTGAGAAAACGGAAAAAAGCCCGGAGAATTGTTTGTTTGCGCAATATCACTCACCACAGACTGACAGCATGAAGAAAGAGATTATGAAACAGCTAATGGGAAACGATGAAGATCGAACTATTCGTGTCTTGTTTGCGACAATTGCTATTGGAATCGGTGTTAACATTCCTAACGTCAGACATGTCATACATATTGGAGTGCCAAGGACTATGGAATCTTATTACCAAGAAATTGGCAGAACTGGACGAGATAATAAACCAGCAAGAGCCTCTCTTTTCTTCAATGGCCAAGATATTTCCACTAACAAACCAGGGATGACAACTGAAATGCGAAATTTCTGCTTACAAGAAACCAATTGTTTGAGAAAGGAACTTCTGGTTTTTCTGGGATCTGCATCATGTGGAAGTGAAATCAAATTGAAATACGAAAGGCACATTTGTTGCAGTAACTGCTTTAAGGTTTGCAAATGCTTAACTTGTGCAACAAATAAGGAGTTACAAATCCAAACTGATAGAAAACTATGCGAAGAACCTGAGCCCCAGCCTGTTCGCCTTGTTACAGATGAGCAGCGAGTACGTATACAGGCATTACTGAAGAAATACAGAATTGAAGCTGGCAAATCTGGTGCAAACTTTGGAGGAATTGACATCAGTACTGGGTTAACAATAGAACTTATAGACTTAATTGTTTCAAAATGTGACAAGATCAATTCAGCTGAAGAATTGTTTGCTGAATTTGAAATGTGGGACATCACACATGCACAAGCATTTTTTAAAATTATCAGTGATGTTTGTAATGCTTAACCCATTGAGTTCCATTGTGCCCTTAATGTGCCCTACTAATTATATTGACATACTACTTTACTCTAATGCCAGATGATTTTACTTATCAACGAGAGTGCTGGCATCTACTGTAATAGGTTAACTGCACTCATTCACTCATACAGGTATAAAGTGCAGTGAAATGTATCTCAAAACTAATCGTAATCATAGCCAATAGAATCCTTGGAAGAGGAGAGAGCTATGTGTCTAGTTAACCCACCGATGAGCTATACTTTATTATTTTACTCTGTGTGATGCCAAACAAGTTTATTCGTCAAATGGAGAGCACTGGCACTTAATAGGTTAATTGCATCCAAATTATAAATATGTGTAAAATATTAAAAGTAAGTCTTGTATGACTGTTTACGATAATACTACATGTACTAAACACAGTGTAGCAGTGCAGTACCAGCTGCAGTAAATTAACAGATTTAATGACGTATAATATAATATCACTAAAACTTTAAATAATCGTCTGTAAAAATTGTAGCATTATACATTCAGTGTGCACTAGGAATTGAACCCAGCAAAACAAGATAGTTTTCCCACATGGACACACTTGTATCAGTGTTATAAATGTTTGCTCATGCAATACAAACATGCCACATGAGTCATGAAATGAGTAAGAATGACATGATTACTGAAAAAGAGAGAAATACAATGTTATTGTGAACAGTTAGAATTGTATAACTGTAACATTCTGGTTGATTGTATACATTGTAAAATATTGTAACTGCAGTTGTTTATAGTCTCACTCATTGATGAGGCCTAATAGTGAAAGCAATTGTAAATAGTTGATTTCAGTATATTATGATATATAAATATGACATGTACAGTAATTCAAAGTGAATTATGTTATAATTAAATATTAGGACAATATGTGAGTTTTGATTTCCATAAAATTAACCATTCAGACGATCATAATTTATATTTTTCATTTGTGTATAGACTATATTTATATATGGTGCCAGTGTTACTAAAATAAGGCAATATTTCAAAGTAATCTTTATAAAATATATGTATTCGGAGGTGAATTGTTTGTATTTCAACTGTGATCTCACATATACATTTTCATGCAATTGTCAATATACATAAGAATGATTCAAAAGTTGAATAAAAGATCAGAAGTACAAGCAGCTGAGTTTTTTAAAGCTCGGAACAGCGTATTAAATGTGGAACAGGTATTAACAATAATTGTAAATACTCACCCTTTCCAGTTTTCTAACAATTCTTGAACATACAAAATTTGAGATATTATCCTTTCATCATTCAACCACATTTCATAACAATATTGTTTACGAGCATCTGCATAAATATCTTATACAATTGAGCCATTTCATGCCATAAATCATGTCTAAATTCTGTGCCATAAATGATGCCACATCGATCAAATAGAATGAGCGATTCAATGAATAACAGAAACGGAACAGTAGCCTGCGACCAGGCTGTTCTTGCTAATTGATAACCCCCCCGGGGAAAAAATAACTTATTACGTAATGCTCTGCAGCCTTTGCCAGGGTTCTCTTCAGCCCTCGGCCACAGAAAGAGAACCCTGGGTACGAGGTTGAGTATTTCCAATTATAGTCAATTCGCCTTTCTCACGATGACGAATATCCGCCATTTTTGGTTGGCATCTAATTCTCGTTAACCAATGCAGACAATTAAAGCAATGTGAAAAGCAATTTTTCAAAATAAACTGACCATTTACAAAGCAAATTTACCGTCATTCGTCACAAAATTATAAAGAGTCGCTGTCATGTGGATTTATTTCGCAGACTTCGGCTGAAAAGTCACCCAAAAATGGCGGCGTGAGAAAGGCTAATTTACGATTTATAATGGTAATTGAACTGAGTGGAGTGCAATTTGGACTGAAATCAAACGCGTGATTACAAAATCGCACGATCGCGAAGCAGGAGTGCGATTTGTAATCACAAGTTTGATTTCAGTCCAAAATTGCACGACACGAAGTTCAATTTCCACTTTATTATATTCATTTTGAAATCTTAAACATTGTAAAACCGGAAACGTTTTTGTTTGCAAGACACACCTCCGGGACCTCCCTGAGTGCTGTAGCATAGCAACAATAAGCGAACAAGATGAAAACATTATAGTTTGTTAATTAACTTATATTTTATACGTTCAAAATACTGCACAATTGTCAAAGAAATGAAGACATTTATAGAGAATAAGAGACAACACAAGTAAGTTTAAACATATTCTGGGTTTTACGAGTGATTTGAAAGAGTTGCAGTTTTGTGCGTTTAAAATTGGAAATACGATAGGCGAATTTACCTTTGTTGACGCTTTAAATTTGCTTTTGTTGGCGTTTTGACCATATTTGATAGATTATGTTCTTAATTTGTCCGTTACTATTTATGAAAATTCTTTGCAATTCTTTGATAGTTTACTGTAGCCATCCATATGTGTTTGTTTTTATGACATATGTAAATTTTTTGTTTTTGCTCATTTGACATATCACATTTTTCTTATAATTGATTGGCTGTTTGAATCCTATGATTAAATATGATTGGTTGGCTGAAGTCAGCACTCTAATGTGATTGGTTGAAAGAAGGTGCGATTTCAGCACAAATCGCACTGCTAGGAGTGTGATTCGTGTTGAAATCGCACACCTGTGAACCAATCAGATTGCAGGAAACACCATTGATTTCAAAATGAATATAATAAAGGCTGCAATTAACGCAGTTCCTTTGTGCAGGAGATGGCAATGTCAGTCACAGTTTGGTCACACAGTCTACCTAACCTGACACTTTCAGTATCCTGTAAACGTACACTTCCAATCATAGGTAGGATGAAACGCGGATACGGACGTACGGATGTACTGTAGGACGGACGGACGAAGGATGGCGGACGGATAACTCATGTTGTCACGTAACGTTATTTTAAGGTCATATCAGCGTTTTATTCATTTGTCCTTAAAAACATGCACACGTTTTACACAACATTTTCTTCCAAGAACTGCACGGTCTCAGCAACAATAACCACTTCAAAAACTGAAAGAAGTTCACTTAATTAGCTCTCACTATAATTTATCGTAATAATTATGTAGTCATTCATTTGTTTACTTTACAAGCTCTTGATGATATATACACTGTACATATTTCAAACTAGACTAGTTAAATGCACTGAAAATGAGCGTAAGCAAAAATTTTACCATATTGTACATACATACGATCAAATACAAATTTAGTTGGGGACGGTTGTTCCAAAACCGGATAGCTTAATCCTAGGTTAACAAAACTTTAAAGTGCGACTAACCCCAAATATGTGTAATATTTGGTTCATTCGAAGAAGAAATGTAATATATCTTTATAATAAAAAAATTCATCTTGATCAACTTTTTCACTGTCAAAGTTTCCGGAAATGATGTCATTAGGTGAATTGCAAATTAGTTTTCCTTTGTTTTTTGTGCCAAAAATTCACCTAATGACCATATCCGGAAACTTTGACAGTGAAAAAGTTGACCAAGATGAGGTTTTTTACCATAAAGATATATTATTATAGACATTCTTCTTAGAATGACCCAAGTATCATCCATACCAAAAATCATATTTGGGGTTAGTCACACTTTAACTGTCTGTGCTAGTGTAGGTAGTGCCAAGTGCCAACAATAACAAGCTTAATAATAACAAGCCAAAAAAAATATAAGGAGAATTTCGACGTTTCGAGCGAGGGCCCTTCGTCGTTTCGAACGAAGGGCCTTCTTCGCTCGAAACGTCGAAATTCGTCTTATATTGTTCAGGTAGTTGCATCCCTACCAACGAAAGCTTGTTTACAAAACTTTAAATCAATCTTCCCAACAGCTTGTTTAGGGACATGGAATATTTTCCCAGAAATCTTGTACGAATCAATAGAAGTATTATTTTGAAATAAACAAACGTGCAGAAATACATAGACGAATCAGCAGGTTAAATGTTGAGCCAGGATCAGCGCTAATTCAGCTGAACAACCGGCCCCAGACGATTAATTGTTAGTATATAACCCTTTTAGGATTGATTGATTAATAGACGCGATGATTTTCTCCGGAGTTAATCTTTGCGTTCTTTTACCATTTACATTGAATATATTATTAAATGCCATTAGGCTTGAGCAAAAATATTACCATAAGGACGTTCACAAGGAAATATTGGAGTTCTAATGCAAACCTTATCCAATGGCTTAGCAATATGGCCTTGTATATAAATGTCGTCGTACAAATCCCCAATAAAATCATCGCATGCACCAACGGCAATACCACGTAAATTTTTAATGAACTCCCGTTTCGACATTTTGCGCTTCACTTGAGGACTATAGAGGTCCACACTTAACAGAATTAACGAATAACACAGGATGTACACAGTTTCTATACAAAACGAAAAGAAATAAGTATTTTAAGGCTTTTTATACTGTATACTTTACAGTACATCAAGATTTGGGGTATCTCGCTCGATAGAACTAACAGTTGGAGGTTTTGTAGCTGGAAATTTCGAGCTTTATTACATAAGATTATATACAATTTTCGAAACCTAACCAACAGTTGAAAAAAATGCAACTACAGCCCTCTCGCAGGAATCGAAAGATGCCCAAGATCTTGATATTTATCCATACCTCATACTGGCATCACCCATGCACTAAATACATGCATGGAGTATATGCAAGAACTTGTGGTTACTGCACGCTCGTCAACTGGACTTCGTATAGCTTAGTTGGTTACAGCGCTGCACCGAAATCTCAAAGCCGGTTCGATTCCTGCCAGAAGGCCTATAAAGTTGCATTTTTTCGCAATTGCTCCTGGTTACTGCATGTATGTAGGTCTGAAAATTGTTGTATATAATCTTCCGCTCGAAATTTCCATCCATTCCAATTTTATACTTTACAGCGTTTGGTGAAATTTTGGGTTGGTATATTGGAGCAACAATATGTATATGGCATAGCAAGACAAGACCACAGTACAACAATCGGTTGTGTGAGTTACATATGTCTTGATTATCGTCATTCGTGGGTTGGAATTCTACAGATATACTTTCCCAGGTGAATCACATTGGATTGATTACATTTGAAGACCCGTTGGATTGATTACTGTACATTTCCGCTGCCGATGCTGGTGGCACTATCCGTAGCTTATACTGTTCTTTTTTCCTACCTTGGGGAAGGCCACAATCAGGATTACACTTTAGGTACCGAGCTGCAAAACCACTTAATATATCTTCTAAGTATTCCCCTCTTGTCGTAGGAGGGCTGACTAGTTTGAAGAATTGCCTGCAAAATAAATGGAGATATATGTAGATAAAAAATTAAGGTGGTCATGTTATTGTCTCGTATTGAGAAACAGTAGGGACCTTAAGCAAGCAGGACGACAACGCGACGACGACGGCTATATTCACACAATGATACTTCTGATCTCGTATAGAAAATAAATGAATAATTAAAAGACCCACGGAAGTTAGAGACGTAATCGTTCTTACGCTTTTTACAACGGGATTTTCTGTGGTACTACAAATTTGCCCAGCAGAAATGTTCAAACTGTATATTAACTTCATACAGTGAACAATATAAAACTTTTTTAATTCGCAAAAATTTATTTGAAAAAAGTTTGTTGTGGGCGTGCGTGCTTGAGGCCCCCAATAAGAATGCAGTGCATGGCGGACACTATAGGAGCTATAGAGAGGGAGCAACCATCTCCGCACAATATTTATACGCAAGATTTTTGAATATAGGTAGCTTCACTGAATCAGATCTGAAAAAGATAAATGAAGCCAATGGCGGTCTTATTGGTGTGACCATGTATACAGGTAGTTAAAAAAATGGGTAAGAAACAGCTGACGGCAGCAGACGAATAGTTAAGTGGTGAATAGTTAACTGGTGAGTTCACACAAAGATGGCTGCCACAAGTCTTATATCTAGTATTTAAAACGTTGTAAAACTCATTAGAAGAGATGTAGGGAGCTATATCTTTTAAGTTACATAGGAAAAGAGTCAAAAGACATTTGCTTGATAATGAATAACCAATTTAAACACGTAAAAATAACTGCAGCGAATGATAAAATATAAACAAAGTGGTACCTGAGTGCATTCGGTAACGACAACATTCTAAAATTTTGGATATAGATCATTTCTTGAAGAATATCTCGCCTTGACAACAAAAACAACACTATATTAGAAGACATTAAAGGGTGGTACTGTAGGTTTAAAACTTTACTGTCTGGTTCAATGGGAACACATTCATATACAGTATTTATTTTTTGTTATTATTCCATCTGAACATGTACTTAATATACAATCATGAGTATTCATTATCCGTATACACGAGTATATTTTGAATAAACAGCAGTTCCAACTAGTGATGCACCGGATAGAACATTTTAGTATCCGGTCAGATACCAGATAGTTGAAAAATATCCAGCCGGATACCGGTTATACAATTAGGTGCATGCCTTTAAATATATAGTTATTTTTGTTGGTTATTAAGCATGGTGCTTATATATATATTATATATTTTCCAGACTTAGAAACTTTAAAAAGAACTTCATGCACAGTCCAAAATCAACAAATATGCATGGATGGAAAAGACTTGCTCAAAAAGTTCAAATTTGAAACCCATTTTTTCGCATTTACAAGAAAGTATGAAATAATCTTGATTATAAATCATAAACTTTAAAGTTTGTATCAATTAACATACTGTATAACTATACCTGTTTTTGAGATACTCTGAAAGTTTCTCAGGTCTAAGCAGATTAATCTTTGAGCCACTGAGAAATTTCGCAATGGCAACAGGATCATCTTCAAGAACACCATTAGTCATTAGGTATGAAATACCCTAAAATTATCAATATACGAATTTCTAAATACCTTCTCTAATACTGTAAATCTGTAATACTTACCTGTAGGCTGGAGATTATAAAGAACTTGTCAAGCCCCGTATACAGACGAGCATGTTTTCCTTCAGTTGACAAGTCTTTGACGAGTTTTTCTTTCTCGTGTGTACGTACAGTACGAAAAAAAAGAAATCGAAATTTCGATCAATGGCAATGACCGGTCGAAGATGAGTGTCAAGTGTTATATGAAACGTAATAGTTTATAACAAACGTACTTGCAGGGAGGTGAGTCCGGGATTGGACGCACCGAGGGTGGCTGGAAGTTTCCCGAACTTATACCGAGCGAAGCGAGGTGAGTTCGGGAAACTTCCAGCCACCCGAGGTGCGTCCAATTCCGGACTCACCGAACCTGCAAGTACGTTTGGTTTTTATCCCATACACCGAGCCATACACGCATTTGTGGCTCTTCGAGATATATTCGTCATGTTTTGTCAACATTTTCCCGGCCAAAAAAATCACTGGGCAAGAAAATAATTCTTTATCCACGTCTAGATTACCTTTACTGCATTTTTCTTTGGTTTTTCATCAGTCTCAGCAAGTTAGTCACCGAAAAAAGTTCTATAAAGCCTAGGTTTATCGGCTAAATCTTGTCCGCCATATTTGTTATTGTTATTGCAAGTTGCAACGTGAGCAGTTTCGCGGGTGAGTTCGGCGAAAAGCAGGTGAGTTCGGGCAAAAAGCAGGTGAGCTCGACGACAAACTCACCTGCTCTAAACCAATCAGAAAGCCGCTTTTGACACAGGTATGGGATAAAATTATTAACTGGATACACACAACAATAAACAATGAACAATTATATATAAATAGATATCCAAGCGTGGTTATAATATTGTGTCTAAATTATCATAAAAGAGCTGTCCCCCTAACGACCCGACGATCCCGCAGATGAGAAAGAAATAACCAACAAAGGGTCGTTTAACACAAGTTTTCTCTGACGGCCGTACATAGTATTACGAGCAATTTTCCTTGTTGTAAAACCGGCGGCATGACCAGGTTCCTTGTCAAGGAAAACATTGTCACCTTGTTGGTGCACACGAACAAAAAAGTTGTCAAGGGGAACGTGCTCGTCTGTACGCTCTAACATAAATCATTACTGCACATCTAGTCCGAAAGAAAAATATCAAACATAAATTCCGATGAACTGACCTAGCCAACGAACTCAACAAACTACAGTAAAATTTCACAGATTGACACATTCTGGCAATATTTCACCTCACCCTTGGTTAAAAACTAAACACCAATTGATGGTCAAATGTATTGAATGAGTATACCGTACATGTACTACAGAACATAGTTACTGTAATAAGAGACTGTGCTCATTTATCTATAGAATCATTGATTACTGCTTAAAGTGTGACTAACCTTAACTACGATTTTTTGTATGTGTATATAGGAAACCAGCGAAGTCAATCTTTAAAAATTACCAATTCATTCAGATTTTAAAACAGATTACTGTAACTGCCTTAGACTTATAAAATTAACTGAACAAGTAACTGACATACCATGGTCTACAGCTGTACAGCGATATAGATACAGTATATACAAGCTACAGAATGTCATATTAATACAATACGTCATGTATTAATCAATTGCTCGCCTAAATCACAGAATAAAGATCAGTAACAGAAGGGCCACTCAGCGGTGCAACGTGTCCTCGTTTTTTCATGCAAAAATATGCAGTTTACTGGCCAGAAGGCGGAGCAGCCAGCCTGTACAGCGTGTTTATTGGCCAGAAAATGTCATTGACTGGCTAGGAAAATAGCGGCCAACATGCGTAATGCGACATGCGTGAGGACAGAAACTTCAAAGCTTCCGACGTAAGTGGTCCTTCTGTATGGATCTTTACTCTGTGCCTAAATGTTGCTACTGTTATTAAGTATACTATAATTACACTATCCTGTAGTATAGCTTACCTTTTCTGGATCATAATTAAATGTAAGTCTTCCTTCATCTAACAGCATATACAACTCTTTGAAATTGCAATTGTTCTAACAGAAAATATGACTATATGTAACTATATACAGTATAATAAACATGATATAATGAGCATGATACAGGTATATGCCAGCTAGGTAACACTGACCAAGGTCTAAATAATTATTGTGATACATTAAAACTTTATTCTCATTCTTGATTGGTCAAAATGTCCCAATGTTCAGTGGCAGCTTTCATGTTATCAATTAATTATTCAGATCTCGGCCAATGTTATACACCTCAGCTTCTCTTCAGCGGATACAACACTGATCTCTGTCTGAATACTTCTTGAGTCAATGCATGCTCATCCAATAATTGTCATATAAATCACACAGTCATTCAAAAGAACTGCATGATCAGGAGGCCAAGACTGGCAGCCGGTGGGAATTAAGATGAGAAAATCCACCCTTCAAACTTTAAGATACAGTAGTTTTGCATATTTTGTGACCTTTTTGGAGCTGTTACTGTGCTGCAGGGTGTACAATAGTTGAAAGCAGTACAGTATGTTGCATAATATAGAGAGCTTACAGTATAAGCAAGCAACATTCGGATACATGGCTGTACTGTAGCATGTACACAATTTGACTTTTAAATTAACCCATTAAGTTGTATTGCGCCCTAATGCACTGTGCATTAATACCATGCACTCTGTCTAACAACAGACAATTTTACTCATCAAGGGGAGAGTACTGGTGCTCAATGGGTTAATTAGAGACACATTGGCAGATACTCTAATTTAGTATATGTCTGTCAAATTTAGTACAGTAGTTAACCCATTAAGTTGCATCACACCCTACTTTATTATTTTATTTTCGTCAAGTAGAGATGAGCCGATATAAAAAACAGCCAGTTTCCCATACAGATTGTTCAAGAAACAATATAATTATACACACCATCAGCCGATTAATTAATCGCCAAACTATTGATCAGATAGTGAAAGACAATTGGCCGATCGTGATAAAAAGTAGCCATTACTCGGCTCTGCCAATGTTTTGCCGATCATCGGCTCATCTCTATCGTGAACTCAGGGGAGAGAGCTCGCTCAACAGGTTAATTATGGCATGTATGACAGTTTCAAGTTTGTGAAACAACATTTGGCAACTTTTAGCAGCTGAATTGCTGTTGACAAAAAAATTCACTTACTTATTATAAGCACTCTAATGACTTTAAACAATACCTGTACATACAGAAATTATACATGTATATTACATGTAAGTACTTACCACTCTTCTACAATAAGCTGTTGTAAACCCCCAGTTGTTTTTGCATAACCTAAAAATAAACAATGTACATCTATATTTACAGAGCCAAGGGCTCCTCCACTTTGTCAGAACCAGATGTAAGGCAGGCCAATTTTGATGTACTGTATTAATTTATTGGAAATTTATGAATCACATGGTTGTTACTGGCAGTCCCCAAGGGCCTACTGTCAATAGTGAATGACTGATTGGACAACAATCTGCCCAATACCGATTTTATAATCAATGATGTCATAATATATCAGGACGACCAAGTAAAGCTGACGTCATTTATAATTTCAATTTTTTTAATGATACATGTATTTTCCAAATATACACCAACATGTTACAAATAACTGCAACCAAAGTTTGTTTAAACTATTTATAATAAATGGCATGCTTCATACATGAATTTCATCATGGCAACAATTTATTGTGTTAGGGGCCATTCACAAAGGATGTCCGAGCCGAGGGGGGGAGGGGGGATTGGAAAATCAGGACAAACTCGGACATAGGGGAGGGGTTAGCAATCCAGATGTACGAAATTTAAAAAAAAATCAAAAACAAATTTCTTTTTCCCTTTATTTTGAGCAGTCCTTCCCATTGAATGCGGTTAATACTAGATTTTGTTTTAATTAGTAATTTATATATTTTTGTATTCACATTAATTTTATAGTTATAAAAAAGTTCTAAAAGTAAAAAAAAGTTTTTTACTCTTGACATATACAAGGTTGCGTGAGTCTGAAAATTCATCATTTGGCCGGACATCCTTTGTGAATGGCCCCTAATAAGAATACTAACAGTAGTTCTGTGTAGAAAATTAATATTATATTGTTTTGGAGGACGGTGGATGTGCTCTAATCTTTGGCAAACACCGACTATCAATAGTATCAACATCATAATTCCACTGATTCTGATTGTCTACCAATATGGCAAAAATCAGCCAAATGCCGATACCATTGTCAGCTACCTCAATTAGTGATAAGAAAAATATCTGAAACCTTTGACATAAGCAAGAAGCACCAAAACAAGTCTAGTCCTTCTTCTTTACTAAATCTGCAGACTTTTCAGTGTTTTTAAGATTTAATTTCATAAGGAGAATACCTGTATACATGGCATTTAAAATTTATATTTGATGTTTTCTAAGGCGACAGTAATTAACTTGGTTGAAATTAATTTCGGGAGAGCGAATGATGACAAAATCACTATATGGTTGTTCATCTTATCTTTCATATCAATATATTATATAATGCAATATGTAGCTGTCAACCTGTCACTTAAAGGGGCCCTACAGTCATTTTTTAGTTGAGAAGCCACCTTAAGTAGGGAACTCCACAGATTTGTTTGGCTGTATCTTACATGCAGTATCCACAGGCCTTAAAATATCGGTCGGTCACGGACATTGTCCGACCCATTCGTGAAATTGTCCGACGTAAAGAAGAAACCACCGGACATTCTGTCCGACCAAAGTGAAACTCAGGTTTAGTGTTTGTCCGACCCGAGTGTATTGCTGTCCAACCGAACTGTAGCTTTGTCCAACGTAAATCAAAATTACCCTAGTCCAGGACTAGAGGCTTGTATGTTAAACGGAGAATCAGTAGTATAAAAAGTGAACTGGAAATGTTGTTTTAATGTAATCAAGGGCGGGGTGGCGAGCGCAGTGAAGTAGAAAAAGGGCTTAAGTTGTGGAACTGTTACTGCTGTTCTTGGCAAGCAAGGTAATTTTGGCTTGGAAATAAATATGACTGACACAAATTATTAAATATCTTCACAACATTTGCCTTTCAGAATTAATACATTGTGCTGATATTCATTTGTTATTTCCGAGCCAAACTGAACTGAAGGTTATCGGACATCATCGTACATATGTCCGACCCAAACTCAAAGTCATCGGACATTTTGTCAGACGGCCCTGTAAAAGATATTTTAAGGCCTGGTATCCATGAGTGTGAGTACTTCCGCACACTGGAAGATGCATGCATGTCGTGGTGCGCATGTCAAGTAGCGAGAATAACAAAAAAATGTAAACAATACTTAAGGTGGCTTTTCGTCTAAAAAATGACTGTAGGCTCCCTTTAATTGATACAACTCGAGTGTATCTGTTATCCGCTTTGGATAAAGAAATAGCGAAAATTATGTAATCTTGGCATTTTGTTACATGCATAAGCACTATGTCTTTCAAATCAACTAATCCAACATACAGTATATGCTTTTCATGCAGCCACATACTAATTTTAGTTCAAATTATTATGTATATATTTGTTTTTAAATTATACACAGGCAACTTTTCAATGCATTAAAAGAATATTTTTATATTTTTGAATCTTTCTGAATTCAGTGTTTAAAATTCTGTTGGGGGGGGGTCATTGGGTAGAGTTAGGTTTCCCATAGATGGAAGGTCCAGTATGTACTCTGCATAGTCACCTTACTAAATGTTTTTTACACAAAAATATAACATTTTTTGAGTCGAGCAGAAACATCTGCAGTTTGGTGATACTACAGGGTAATTGTCATTTTGACTGTTTTTCGAAAGTCAAATACTGGGGGTGTGCGCGGGGGGGGGGGGATGATCGCGGGTGGATTTCACTCATACATATTAAATTGAAAGTTGAAATACATTCTTAATACTGACCCTTGCCAAAGTATATCATCGTTTCCAAGCTGATCCCACACGCAGGCGGCAAGACATAGGTCAGTTGCATTCAGATAAGACAACACGAACTGCGCCATTTCGGGTGGAAGTGTTGCCAGATTCGGGAACGAACGTGACTCATGTGCATTCTGATTCTTGCCACGACTGACAGCTAGTGCTTGGCCCATTCAAAAGCATCAGGAATTACATCAGATAACTACAATGTCGGCCAGGCGACGAACGTAAAATTTTACGAGTTTATTAAGTCAATTCTTTGTCGTATAAATATTGCTCTCATGATCAACAAATTTAACCACGACAACGAAATTACAAAAATAAACACATTTCAACATTTGGCGTGGCGGTATTGACGTTTACCACATGTACTTCCGGTAGGGTCTAGGCCACTCGACCGTAAATTGTATAGAAATACAAATACCTTTCTTATAATGACGTCAAGCGATTTCCCAAGGGACAATATGTTTGTACCAACGACTTGCATTGGTCTGTGGGAACATAGAGATTACAAATAACAATAGAGGGCAACGGAGCACGCAAGAGTTCGTTTTGCCTGTCTTTTAATCACTTTATTACCTTCGTAGTACATTTGTTTTGTTTTTGTCAGCCATTTTGAAAATATATGCGGTATCCTTCATTAATGTATCGCAGGCGCTAATCACGAAGTTCGGCCTTCGGCCTCATCGTTCAGCCGTTCCTTGCGTTATCAACAACAATATTGTAAATTGTAATTATCAACCGTTATCAGCAATAATTAGTTATTGGGTTGTAACCCTAACCCCCACCCTAACCCTAACCCCCATCCCCTAACCTCTAACCCCCTAACCCTAACCCTAAAGCTGGTGAAATTTGCACAACCACCGATGCCCGGAAACACTTTTGCAATGAGTGAAATGGTTTGGCAAAACTTCACTTAATGACACGGCAAAATTCTCTTACACCCCCCCCC